TCTTTCTTCTGCAAAGTATTATTTCTCTTAATGAGGAAAAGATCGGAGAGAGAATGATATTGATCTACATATCTACACGTAGAAAATAAATTCTACGCATAGGTTTTTCGACGTGTGGAATATAGTCTACGTCTACGTTCTACGCATTTCATTATTTTTGATGGCTTTTCTAACGGTACCATAAAATATCATTGAAACTCATTTATCTTATAAAATATGTTTCAGCGATGTTGCTTTGAACACGTTCTAAAGCGAGTTGTAAAACGCGTTTTCGAATGCGTTGATGTTGAAACATCACATAAAAAACGCGTTTACAAATGTTTCCTTAGCGCATTGGTTTTGTTCCATTTCTAGCGTAATTTCATAGTTTTCTTGTATGTCCTTACGGCAGGTTAGTCAGCACGCAAAAATATCAAAAAACAGGCGGTTTTGCAAGAATCTCAAAATAAATTTCGACGTAGGATTTTTTGTTCGCTAAAAGTATCTCCTGGTAAAATTTTAAGAAACTTAATGTATTGTTATGTTTGTCTAACAGAATAATTTATTTGATGAAATTTTCTTGTCAACGATATAACTTTTATCTCACATCAATCTTAGTGCGATATGACGACAAAAGCGATGTAACTATTTTTTGATGATTCGTTGAGCTTTCAACAACATTATGACAGTTATTAGATAAACACGGTTGAATCTTGTATGTAGAGACGTTATTATTATTTAGATGAAAAAAAGATCATATTATAATTAGAATGGAATAATGTGTATAAGAGTAACCTAAAGACATGTGAGACATAGAATTAGTACGTTGATCGATAGTGCAATGGATATTCGTACATACTCTAAACTGAGTATGATAGCTTCCGAGTTATGGAATTCCAAAGTACCAGATAACAACGATGAGTCAGAAGATTTGAGTACATTAGATGAAGAAGCTGATCAACAGTTTACACGCCATGTAAGTAACGGATATCTAAGAAATTACGTAGGTTGTATTGTTCACATACATACAAAGTAACTTGCTAATCAAAATAATAGAACAGGAGTTTCAGAAAACTAAACAAATAAATTTAAATGGCAAGATTTAGACGGAAAAACTTGCCACACGAAATACAAACGTATGCTGCACTTTGACTTTATTCATTTTTGACTCATGCAAAAAGAAAATGAACTCTTGGCTGGTCCAACAGATATAAGCAACGCAGTAGGGACTTTGCACAGAGTAAGGAATTAGAATTCTAACTAGGCATGCCCGGTTATAACCGATAAATTTCATCTTTTTTTCTGTAATGGATTGTGTGAAAAGTAAGCCTTCACGGAGATTCTTTTGAAATATACAAACGGGAAAAGACGACGAATTTGATAGTGAATAGTATAAACCAGAGAGATAAATTCGAACAGGAAGTGCTCGACGGAGAAACTGATTTATATAATCTTCTGTTCTGTTAATCTAAGTTTATTTTAATCCACCATCACAGTGTACCTATACTTTTAGTCGTCTTCGTTTAACCTTCTCATAAGGCTCACGCTTAAACGACTATATAGAAGAAACTGAAAACAGACTGTGTATAACGCTGTCACACTATGTCTTGCAGTCAAAAAAATGCGTACTTCTCGATAAGTAAGCTCTAAAAGTGGCAGTGTCCAAAAATTGATTTTGAACAAAAAGTGTTAGAGTCGCAGATCAGTCTATCCACGTAACGGTCCAGTTTCCCATAAGTCAGTCAAGTTTTGTCAAGATTATAGTTCTGCGAGAAAAGCTCTTACAGAGCTCGGAGGCGTCTCATTTTGGAGAACAAATATTTTCTTTAAAATGGTAATTAAGTGAACGCTACAGGCTCTACGAGTATATACTCGTACTCACGTATACTCGAGTACAAAATTCCTAGTATTCGTACTCGAGACTTTTTTTAACAAGTATTCCAAAAAATACTCGAGTACTTTTCAAAAAACTGATGATCTTTGTTTTACTATTTACATATCAAAAAATCGATTTTTTCGGAATCACCGGCTTCTTATACTCGAATACTTTTCACAAAATACTCCTACTCGATCCTCAGTACTCGTACTCGTACTCAGAAGTCCGTGTACTCGCCCATCTCTGTTTGAATCTATGAACTGTCTCCTGCATATAGGATATGAAAACGTATTTCATCGATAATACTACTTTAGTTAATTAGTAGTTTAATGTATAATAGTGGGAACAGTTGCTACTATCGGAGCCAAAATACAAGAGCAGTGGCTATTTTTTGAATAACTCAGCACCAAATAAAGATAGAGGCTTGCAATTTTCACTATTCGATAGCCAAAACTTGAGATGATCTTTCTACAAGCAGAAGGGATTTTTGGAAAATTTTTCGAAGCCGGATTTCCGGAAGATCTTTGGAAAACTAGCTTTGATTTTTCGAAATTCAAATAGAAATTTATTGACTTTTTTTGGCGGGGCATATGTAGTTCGCAGTGTCCTCCACAAAATCGAGTCTAAGCAACATCTCGAAAACCTATTTTTTCTGGAGCCTTACCACTCCCCTGCTGTTAGGTTTGGGACTGTCAGAAATGAATGAAAACATAGGCTATCGACTATACTAAATCTCGTGGCAATGCTGGTTTTCACAAAAAAGTGCAACAACCGAGTGAAAACCTGTACTATGTGAAATAATCCGTTTTTGATTATTTTCATCAACAATTAGATAATTCATAACTCAGTCAAAATCCATCTGAACTACGTCAGAATGTCAGCAAATACTCTATTTTATCTGCAGCATATCATACCGTAAAGCTCAATAAATGTTGAAAAAATCAACAGAAAATACTTTGGTTTCTAGAAAGGTTTCCGAGAAACCTTCGGAACTAAAAGAATATTTTTCTTGTTTTTACGTATAGAATTAGAATGAACGGCTAAAATAGAGTATTTGCTGACATTCTGAAGTAGGCTGGATGGATTTCGACTGAATTATGCATTACTTAATTTTTGATGAAAATAATTAAAAATGGATCATTTCACCTAGTATTTACCCACTGCTCTGGCATTTTGGCTCCGATAGTAGTACTTTGAGGTCCGATTCTTAAAACAAAGCAGGTTTCGACCTGACTAAGCATACCAGCCAAAAACCATAAGTCAGTTACGTTTTGTTAAGATTATCGTTCTGTGAGAAAAGCTCTTACAGAGCTCGGAGGTGTCTCATTTTGAAGTACAAACATTTATCTTTAAAATGGTAGTTAAGCAAACGTGAATAACTGAATCAATTTTCAAGATAGAATTTTCGAATCAGATGCCACATCTTTCGAATAAGATGTTCAGTTTACAGTTTGTATATGACCGCGATGCTAACTATAAGATAAGATAAGATAAGATTTATTTTTATTAAAGAGCAGGATATCACAAAAAAAAGAAACAAAATCTTGTGGCATCCGTGGATACCCTGTGATAACCTAAAACTAAAAATTTAAAACTATAAATATGTAAACAAAATAACATTATTAAAAGCCTGAGTAACCTCGCAGGATATTTTTAAATGTGGCTAAAGAAGTTTGAGAGGCTAAAACAGAAGGTAGTTCATTCCAATCTTTTGAGGTTCGCGGAAGAAAAGAGCTAGATGC